AAAGGAAACCCAGTTCGCAGATCCAAGAGAGGCGGATGGCTAGCTTGCTCCTTTGTTGTTGGTATATATATTTCTCTCTGCATTCTCTCTTCCTCTATTATTTGTCTCTTTGTGTTATTTCTGTGTGTGTGTGTTTTTGTTCAGTACTGGCTGGGCATGTTTTGAGATTGAGCCTTCCGCTCATTTCTTTTAGGACTTTCTGTAACCTAAAGCTAAGGGCACTTCACGAGAAAAGCAACTATATGTCGTGAAAAACATGAAAGCTATATAGCTAGCTTTTCTCGAATCTGTGAAGTGGATGGTTCAAAACTCAAAGTTTGAAGAAGAAAAAAAGTTAAAAATTATAAAGAAAGAAACATGTTCATCATAATCAATAGCATTTATGATTATGGATGATCTGTGGCTATCATTATATTGCTGGCACAGACCCAATCTCATCTTCCAGCTGTCTCTTCCTGTTCAGGTTCGATCCTGGACAGTGGCCGGCCAATAACAATTAATACAGCCCATCTACATATAAATTTAAAAATCATGATATAATTTGAAGCTCTTTGTGTATTCATGTTATTTGGAGTTCTACTGGGTTTCATTAAACTGTTTCTAAACAGTAAAAGGCTAAAAGCAACTTCCAGTTCAATGATTAAAGACAATTTACAAAAACTAAAGTTTTCAAGGACCCCATTTGATGTAAATTTTACCAAAATGGTCTGCTAACTTTGACTGGAAATGAATACAAATTTGCAGTGTATGAGGTATTTGAACGAATGGCGTATTATGGAATATCGTCAAATTTGGTACTGTATATGACAAACAAGCTCCATCAGGGGACGGTGAAGTCGGCTAATAACGTCACCAACTGGGTTGGCACGGTCTGGGTCACTCCTATCTTGGGTGCGTATTTTGCAGATGCTCATCTTGGACGCTACTGGACCTTCGTTATCGCTTCTATTATTTATCTCTTGGTATGTACAGTTAATTTATGTATCTCCATGCATTAATACTCCTGCGTATATTCGTATTTTACATAAAATACACATTTCGCATCAAACTTATATTAATTAATAAGGAATCTCAGAACTATAATAGAAATGGTAAACATGTTTGGTAACGTGGTTGATAACATGTTGTTTTCGAGATTGGTAACATGCTAATATTCGATTTCCAATTTATTTTCTTTCTTGATCGACATATATATATATATCATGAGTAAATACTCGAATTTCTTAAAATTTGGAGTTTCATTTACTTGTGCTAATTAACAATGAAAGACAAAAAATTAATAGTTTTTAATGCATAAAAGTTTGACAAAATATGTGTGTTTTAGTGTCCATCAATAACATTTAACACGAATTACTTCTGCGTGATCGAGTGGTTTGATACAGGCCACTCAACTCTTAAGTGTATTATTTAAGAGGTTTTGACTTAAATCTTTTATTGGTTACTAATAGAGATAACCATTAAAGTTCTTATCTGATCGATAATTTCTAAATCTCAATCATAAATAATAATAATAATAATAATAATAACATTTAACACATCATTCAAGAGCATTTGCATCTAAAAAAGAAAAGCAAACAACTATATAGGATCAAGAATTTGTCTCGATTTAAGTCAATATTTTAAATCGTTATAGTATGATACACACTTTTTTTTTTTTTTTTACTTTAATATAGTTTTCTAAAACATGTATGTGTATTTTCATGAAACCTAAACCAAAACCAACCACATGAGTTACGGGTTTAAATATCATAGGAAGTGTGAAATTATTTAATTGAAAATTATCTATCCTAGCTAGCTAGCTAGGTAGGTAGCCGTAGCTGATAACTTCAAATAATAAAATCCTGCATTTCTGCATGGAAAATATACTTGTTAATTAGCACGAATTGTTTGACCAACCATTTCTGTTTTATAAGGCAAGGTAGGAAGCTGTCGTTTGTCTCCTTTCTACAATAATATTAAGTGCTTGTTGTCTGATACTAATAATATCGGTATAATAATTCATAAACATCTCCAAGTTGATAGTAATTTTCAAGACCAAGCACATGAAAGATAAATATAAATTGTATTCCAGTTCTTGGTCAGTGTCCTGTCCGATTTCCGAACACATTTCTTAAACTTACCCCGAGTCAACCATCTCTATCGGTTTAGGTTAGACAGTTCAGACCAAGTTGGCTTATTATATAAATGCATAAATATTAGTGTAGATCAGGAATACCTTTTGCCCATTTATTTGCTACAATCCTTAATAATCAAAGCCACTTTTGGTTTGTGCTATGTGACTTGAAATTTTAAGGTAAACCAAGAATACGCTTGGTTAGATTTATCAACTTAAAGAGTTTAGTTAAAGTTATCAGTATATCTGAAATTTTTTTAATTAGGTTGATAGCATTCAAAGGGGTTTATAGGATTTTATCATTTTAAGTTAACTATTTTATGGCTTCAGAAAAAAAGTTCAAATTTGGATTTTTGTTTTTTTTTTTTTTTTTGTTTTTATATCATCGAAAGTATTCGGATCAACTTGTGTGCACCTCAACTAACCCTTCAGTGTCTTGGAACTTTCGATCAGGTAAGAGTCCTAGTGGTCACTCCTATTAGTGTCTAAGGAGATTCAAACTCAAGAGTTTATAAAACTTCTTTTTGCTCTTTTACCATCAACTCATCAAACGGTGGTTAAATTTTGAACTTTTCCTATAAGCTATTTTTGATCTTATTTAAAATGTTAAAATTTCAAACTTATCCCTATTATATTTTATACATTTGACTTTCTATTCTTTTAAATTAAAACCCTTTCTGGTAAATTATTACTAGAAAGTTCTTTTACATTTTCTTAACTAAATAACAAACATATTTTTTACAAAAATTCTTCTCTAATAAGCTCTACTGGAAGAACATGTGCCAAACGGTCTCTAAAGTCTTTTGACCTGTTTTTACTTGCAGGGGATGTGTTTACTAACACTATCAGTATCACTATCGGGGCTAAAGCCACCTGCCTGCAATGAAGCTAATGTAGCAGATTGTAAAGAGGCCTCGACGTTACAGATTGTAGTCTTCTTCGTTGCACTATATATTCTAGCTGTAGGGACCGGTGGAACTAAGCCGAATATCTCGACGATCGGTGCGGACCAGTTCGATGATTTTGAGCCCAAAGAGAAGGCCCATAAGCTTTCCTTCTTCAACTGGTGGATGTTTAGTATTTTCTTTGGGACACTCTTTGCCAACACAGTTCTTGTGTACATACAAGACAATGTGGGCTGGACATTGGGTTATGCCCTTCCAACTCTTGGGCTTGCGATTTCCATTGGGATTTTCTTGGCTGGCACACCCTTTTACAGACACAGGATTCCAGCAGGGAGCCCATTTACAAGAATGGCAAGAGTGATTGTTGCTGCATTGAGAAAATGGAATGTGCAACTGCCTAGTGACCCCAAAGAACTCTATGAACTTGACTTGGAAGAATATGCAAAGAAAGGGAAGTTCAGGATTGATTCCACTCCAACTTGGAGGTCAGTCCATCTTGAAGAAACAATCATAATTAGCCTTGTTTTCTTATGATTATATGTTAATGAGATCATGTTTATTATATGCTTATTCATGTATGCAGGTTCCTTAACAAAGCTGCAGTGAAAACAGGCTCAACTGATCCGTGGTTGCTGTGCTCAGTGACACAAGTTGAGGAAACTAAACAAATGTTGAGAATGATCCCAATCTTGATTGCCACATTTGTTCCGAGCACAATGGTTGCGCAGATCAACACCCTTTTTGTCAAGCAAGGCACTACTCTTGATAGAGCTGTTGGCAGCTTCAAGATTCCCCCTGCAAGTTTAGCTGGATTTGTGACTATCTCAATGCTTGTTTGTGTCGTTTTGTACGACCGATACTTTGTCAAGATTATGCGACGGTGGACGAAAAATCCTAGAGGGATCACTCTCCTTCAAAGAATGGGAATTGGCCTTGTTCTGCATATCTTTATCATGACAATTGCATCTCTAACAGAGAGATATAGGCTAAGTGTTGCCAAGGAGCATGGAGTAGTTCAAAATGGAGGCAAAGTTCCTTTAACGATATTCGTTCTACTTCCTCAATTTGTGCTTATGGGAACAGCTGATGCATTCCTGGAGGTGGCCAAGATTGAGTTCTTCTATGACCAGGCGCCGGAAAGTATGAAGAGTCTTGGAACTTCTTATTCAATGACTACTTTAGGAATTGGAAATTTCTTGAGTAGCTTTCTTCTTTCGACGGTTTCTCATATTACTCAGGAGCATGCTCACCAAGGATGGATCTTGAACAACCTAAATGCTTCTCATTTGGACTACTACTATGCATTTTTCGCGATATTGAACATCTTGAACTTAGCTTTCTTCTTGGCTGTGTCAAGATCATATGTGTACAAGGCTGAAGTTTCGAATTCAATGGAGGTGCTTACAGAGGAATTGAAAGTTATGAGATTAAGGGAATCAAGACATGAAGTGTCTGGGACACAAGAACATTGAATGATTCACTGAGAAGAAAAATCCTAACAAGACGCAAGTTGAAGATGTTGGTAATAATTTTATATAAAAGAAGCTAAACTTCCTGACCAGACTGCTGACAGAACTTCAATGGATGGTTTAATTTGGGGTGTGTGTTAAAGTTTGTTTTACCTCAGTCAGTAAAAATATTCTGGCCCTGACATAGAAAAAAAAAAAAAAAAAAAAAATAGAGGAACGAGTCTAGAAATTGTAATAGTTGTATAGTTGTATGAAGGCCTGCAAGTATTGGTGCTGAACAACAGCATAACCATATTTATAATCACATTGCTGGTTTCACATTTATGCAATGGTGAATCCTTGAAATTTTCAGATTTAAGAAGAAAAATCAAATCTCGACCAGAATTGGTTTGAACAAAATAATGAATCGGAGATTATAGATAGTATATGAAGGGATAGTTTTGGTCAATGGACAAGAATGTTAAGCGTTGTATATCATCATTTCTCAAAAAATTGATGGCCCTAGACAGCATATACAAAGAGAGAAAACCTGACTTTATAAACATCTTATGTTCTGTATGTTTGATTAAATATTTCCAGACTTGCACTAAGTTAAATAATGCCTAGAGCTATGAAGAATGAAGATGGGAAATTCTACCTTATGGTCTCTCAACCCCCAGTAACATGTTCATATAGAATTTGAGTCAACAGAATTTTGATACAATGTGCTGCCTATATTATATTCATCTAGTTCCATTTCCGGTAACATGATTAAAAGTCTGTACTAGAATGCACAATAAGTATATAATCCCTCTATTTGAAATATATAAGAAAGGATCATCTTCATCTCCTTTTCGCTAACTGGAACGACTTCTTTAAGAACTGATTTGCAGCTCGATCATTTCTGTGGCACAATATTCTGAGTATTGTGTTTGGATCCGATCGATTCCACCTTCCTGTTGTTGGTGGCATTGGTAGCTTGGCCCCTGTACCCACAACTCCTATACCACTTGTTTCACAGGAAAGAATGCTAAAATCTTCTATTAGTTGTTCAGTTTGCTGACCCATCAATGCTACCACCCCTTCAACTGTCTCCGCCTCTCGGTCCACCACATCTTCAGATATCAATCCTTCTCCACATGTACAAAATACCTTCTTCAAACTGTCAAAATCCTCTGTAATCATCTCATTATCAGTCCGGTAAAACACCCGCGAGGATCCCCCTGCAAGCAAAACCATAAGGTACGCTTCAAAGGCCGCCCTCATAACTTCTTTTATGGCTAACGCCTGTGCTCGGTCATTGAGAATTGCACTCAAAAGAGTGAGATTTTGTTTCAGAGTGCGCAATGCAGGCCTAATTCTTGCATTCTCAACATCATAAAGGTAGAGACTTTCGTAGAAGACAGAGTTTGAGTCGAGGAAGATGAGGCGATATGCTGCAACTTCTGATACATGTTGGGAGGCTGATTGAATAGCATTTGTTGCATGTTCAAAGTATGAAGAGCTACTATGGCGCCTCTGGTTAGCGTAACGACTATGCGGTGAAGGAACAACTCTTGGAGAAAGGGTTAGTGTTTTTTCAAGGGACTGGATATGGGAGAGAAGATAATGCAAGGTGTTGAGACGAATATAAAGGCGTTGTGTTCCTCGGCTTGTTGATGGGCGTGGATGGAGACCTTCATTTGTTCCTTGAACTTGACTTGTATCATCTACAGTAACCGCACAAGGGCTAGCCTTTTTCCAAAGTTTGGTGAACTTTGAATCTCGGTTGCATCGTGTAAGAGGAGGGAGCGTGGGCAAATAGCTCTGTCTTGCTCCTGAAAAATAGATGAAATCATGAAACTTAAAGCAGAAGTAACTCAATTTCTTGATTTTAAATCTTACCACATGATGCAACAAAGGTAGTGTATTCTCTAAAGAGCAGCTGTAAACCATCTGCAAGATCATAAACCAAATCATCTGTAATTCCTATTGGTATATCAAAGAAATCATCAACAATTTCCTCTGCCATTTTCATTAGTTCCACAGCCGACTGCGCATATGGCTCTGATTTCGACTTGGGATTCCATGTCTAAAATTTGAAAAATTGCAGTCAATCAACTAATTAATCATCACAAACCAAAGATATCTTTAAAAAATTTTAGCAGACTATTAAAAACATACTTCTGAATCTTTTGCTCTGAGATAACATTCTTTTCCTCTAGCTATCCTCTCATCAATCCATTTTCTCAAGAGCCTTAAAATGATCGAATCGACTTCGTACGGGATCATTTCTCTGACAATGCCTTTGCCTCCATCTTCACAGTCAGCACTATCTTCAACCACCATTTGAACCAAAACTTTTTCAAGCTTTCCAGCCCTCTGCAACACCCTAACCGTCTCGTTTTTTAGTGTCCCCATTCTAGCTAAATATTGTTTCAAAACGGCTCCATAGCATTGGTGAAGTGTCACAGCCGCAACCCCAGCTGCAATGCAGAGCCATTTCTTAAACACAGGACTAAAACTTTCCCTCTCTCTCAATGCCAAATCCTCCGTCTCTTTTGCCAACTGAAGTAGAGCTTCTGTTGCCCCCATCTCTTTCCCATCTACATCTGCTGTCATATTCCCATTCTCAATAATCTTCGTAAAAGCATTTTTCACCGAGGATCGGATATAGTGATCAACGCGATTCGCAGTCGAATCCATCACAACCTTTGTGTCTCCTTTCTCTTTACCTACTCCATCAGTGAGTGTAACATCTTCTCCCATAATGTTCGATGCCAACAAAGCCAGAGGCAAAAGGTTGTCAATTTGACTAACTGTTCCTCTATAGAAATAATCATGATAGCTCAGCAGTCTCTTCTCCGCCCACCCTTGCATTGACCCCAACATTGAAGACAACATCTTCACATACAGCGCCTCTCTATCAGACTTCTTAGCATCATTCGCCAATTCCGCCAGCATCGTATGCGCGGCACAAAGAAGATCCGGCTCCGATAATGCAGTCATAACGTATTGCTTAAACAAAACCCATGTGAAACACAGATTATGAATCTGTCTGTTGATCCCCAATGTCGACCATGTCTTCTTTATAAGCTCCAGAAGCTCGTCCACCTCGTCAAGAACCAATGTCTCGTCTCTTGTATCGAATATGGATTGAAGAAGAGAAATGTAAAGGTGGACATTGAGCGGGTAGCCGTCAGCCCAGTGACAGACGTCAGTCGGAGTTCCGTTAGGGCTTCTCCAGGACAAGGAAACTACAGTGTTGCATAGCTTTCTCATTGTGTCAGAGTTTTTGCCGGTGTCTATCGGTTTGGTTTCACTGGTGCGGACAATCTCACGGAGGCGCGTGGCGAATGAGTTTGATTTGTCAAGTGCAACTGAGGGATGAAGGAGGAGTCCGGCTTCTAGAATTTTCAGCAGCCGCCTTTGCCAAAAATGGTACTCGTTAGAGTCATTGAATTCTGATGGTTTCAGATGACGAATCAGCTCCAATGGCAGTATTATCGTCTCCGCTCGTCTACCCATCTGCATCCACGTATAATTAACATATATTAATTAATTAAAATTAATCGATATTAACTTAATCTAATTCTAATCATTCATAATTAATTTAGCGCTTATGGATGTTGACTACATTGTTAATTTGTACCTTTCAAAGTTGACGGAAAAGCCAAAGAAAATAATATCAGACGTCGATATAATTTTATTATAATAGGATTAATTTTATATTTTTCCAAAATTAAATCTATTTCATGTCAAATTATAGAGACCTTGTCATGCAAAATTGCAAATTAATTAATGAAATTAGCAAATAACATGAATATAAATGTTATTATTATTATTGTTGTTATGAATGTGATGGTTTACGTACTTGGCCAACGAGGGTTCTCATGAGAGTTTTCCTCAGCCTATTATCACTCTGCTCCGTCACCTTCATCTGTTGCCTCATGATCTCCGCCGACGTCAACGGCCGCCTCGGTCTCGCCGGTGGTGGAGCCGTGTTGTGCCCATTTGCAGGGCTAGTCCTCTCGAATCCATGCCCATGCCCATGTCCATGTCCATTTCCTGGTGAGGTCGGCCCCGTGTTTCCACCTCCAACGGGAGACATTCTCCTCGACGGCGACCTCCTCAGCATCTTCAACCCCAAAGCCCGCTTTATCCTACTCGTAGGCGTCATCTGAACCACCCCATTAATGCGACCCCCAGCGCTTGGCGACCCTAAACTTGACCCGATTCCACCTTCTCCATTACTATGATCATTCGAAGAATAAAAATTTATCGCGTTCCTTCCCCCAAAACCTTATAAAAAATAAAATGAAAAAAAAAAATTATTAAAAAATTTCTTTTACGTCATTTAACACATGTTTCTGAAACAACAAAATGAATTCATTCGACCTTACACTTAAAATTTAAGAAAGAGTTTTGTTATTTAGTCTTATCAGTTACCTCACGGGAAAAATGTCATTTAACTCTTCTTTTTACATTAAAATAAAAAAATAAAATAAAATTGAAGTTTAATTGGGAACGAACCTGGAGAGGATCTGCAGGCAGTGAAGAAGACCTCGTAGGCTGTTTCACGGATATCATCAGCGTCAATGTTGTTGAGTTTACCGAAGGGCCAGAAGAGGTCGGAGTCAGCGGTGGCCGGGCCGGAGGGAGAGTCCCGGCGGGTCATTTATGAAGAAGTGGAGTCAGGTATCAACAATATCTAGTTCTGGCGGGAGAGACAGTGAAGAGAAGGGGTGCATCCCTATGATTATTAAAGATACAGAGAGAGAGAGAATTTTGATTTGTGGTGGGTTTTAAGATGACAGCGTTAATGTGTTAATTAAGAAGCGTATAATTCGAGGAACATTGGGTGGTAATCCACCTCCATGAATAGTATTTGTTGAAATTTTTGTTTTCCCGACAATTACTCTTTTTTTTTGTTTTCCATATGATTTTTGTTGTCAAATAATTAAATTATTGTTCTTTTGATACCAGAAAATATCAAATTTTATCAATTATTAGATAATTATTTAATAATAACATATGGTATAATGTTGGGTTCCATTTGGCAGAATGTTGGAAGGGGAGAAAGTGAATCTTTCGGTTTGGTTGTTTCTATTAATTAAAATATTATTTGTTTTTGCAGGAACAAATTAAATTCCAGGAACAACTACCACTACCGGACAGGTGATATGTTTTGAAATATTTGATCCATTTATAAATTTAGTATTGACTTATTTGTTATTCGTTGAATTTAACAATTCATATCAGCATCATAACAAAACGTGGGTGGTTCGCCTAATTATAGGTTTATGTAGTTATCTTGTTACTTTTCATTTTATGATTATAAATTTCCAAATTTATAGTTGAGTTTAATTCAAATGATTGACAGAAACCAATCTGTCTGTAACCTGCTGGATCATACTTGAAAAAGCATCAAATCTACGAGAGATTTGATACAGAAATGCTAAAACATAAGCTTCCAAACTCCTTAATTCCACAACTCATTTTGTTTAATTAATATGTTTTGTTTCCTGCAAATAATTCTTGTATATAAAAGAGTTCATTAAAATTATAAAATTCAATAAGATTAAGTCTGGAATATTGGATATCGCCACGGCATTGGATTTTTTTTTAACTTAAAAACTCTGTATTCTCTCTCCCAACCATGATTTCAGAGCACATCATCATAATTTATTTATTTCAACTCCACTGAGTTGTTAGTTTTTTTTATTAAGATCTTGTGTAATATTAATGAAAAGATTGCCATGGTTTGAAACAAATGGAAAGGTTTCTCACCCAAATGAACTTGTGTAATATCTGTCTTGGGCGTAATGGTAAAGGTAAGTCTGGCATACTTTGTGATTCCAACAAAGTTCCAATCACTCCATGACGATGACGCTGGGTTTAAATATATAAATTGAATGACACCCAAATTGTGTTTGTTGGTGCCAGTTTTTTTGTATGGGGCTCAGACAAAATGTTAGTTGGATCCGGATGGCTAACTCTGAACCGTGGCTTGCACTTGATTGTGAAAAAGGCTAGATGGTGCGTAGTAGTGCAGAACAGTAAGTTGGGGTCATAACATGGCAACGCTCAGGAAAGTGATTTTTCTCAAAAAAAAAAAAAACCTATTTTGGAGGTCATTTTTTAAATGAATTATTTACTCTTTTCAGGAATCAAAGGTGGATGATACTAGATTATCTATTTACTAAATCAGGTATAATAATGTTATCTTATATTACTTACTTATCACGTTTGCTTGTCAAATAATATAAGATTCCGATAATCTTCCAAAAATAATAATAATTGTTGTTAGTTATATATGAGGTAATCTAATTACCTTTATTTTCTTAGATATTTAAGATTATTTTGAATTTTTTTTTATTACAATTTAACCCTTAAATATTAAATTTTTGGATAATGATGCCCTTATTTTTAAAACAATTTACAAATATATTTATAGACTATTTTATCCTTATATACAAAATTTTTAGGACATAAATACCCTTGAACTTGAAAAAATTACCTAAGACTGGTGGCCGAATCTAACCACCACCGTCGGTCGTCAGCCTCCAGCGTAGATCTGGCAAAAAACGACTAGATCTATGACTTTTGGCTGTCATCAACGAACAATGACCAGATTATGGTCGTAGATCTGACTATTTTTGGCCAGATCCAACCAGTCGTGCGCCGTTCCAACCACTTTCACCCTTGCCAACGCGGTGGTGGCAGGTGACCGGCAGTGGCTTGGGGTGGGCCAAGGTGATTTGGTTAGAAATTAAACTTTTATGTGGCTGTGGTGTTTTAGCAAAATCTCAAATTTAGAAGGGTTAAAAAATATGATTAAAAAAATAATAATAAAAATAATATTATATTAATATTTAAAAAGGAGGGCAATTTAGTTTTTTATATAATATACTCACCAATTTATTCTAATTAGACTTGGGCAGGGACCAGTCCTAGCCAGGCCTGATTGGGACTAGTCACTCATGGGCCTGGGACCGGTCCCAAGCCCATAAGAAATTTTAGGACCCGGACCGGTCCTATGGGCCCATAAAATTATTCTTCAACAACCCTAACCCCGCGCCCCCGCTCAAAAAAAATTATGTAGGAGGGGTTTATGTAATTTTTAGGGGCTTGGAAAATTTATTTCCACCCAAGTGATTAGTAAATTTTTAATTAATTTTAAAAATTAATAAAATAATAAATAAATTAATGGTTAAATATAATTAATAATAATTTATAAATATGGGGATTTAAATTTAAACTTTAAAGTGATAATTTAATTAATTAATTTTAACATAAATGTAATATTCACACAATCATACATTCACACTTCACAAATAAACAATTAAATAAATTTTATTTTATTAAATTATTCATCGTCAACAATATTTACATCATTCAAATTTGTGTTCCTAAAGAGTTCGAGTAGTTCAGGATCTTCAGGGTGCTACTATAGTTTTCTCTTTGCATGAGTCCAATCCCGTAAACACGTTATTACTTCAATCATCTCATTGGTTAAAGAGCATCTTCTGTCTTCAATAATCCGGCCACTCGTTGAGAATGTTGACTCGGATACAATTGTAGAAATCGGCATAGATAAAATGTCACGTGCCATTTGGGCTACAATGGAGAATCAACTTTGATGTTGTTTCCACCATTGAAGCACATCTATCTCACGTTTCTCCTTTTCCGTCATGTAGGACATGTCCATTTGTAAGTAGCAATTCAGCTCATTTGGTCCATGTATGTACGCATTGGAGCTACTACTTCTACTGCCATATTCCATATTACATCCACATGCTCGATTCTTGATAGTTGTCTTCATCAGGGTCCTGTTTGGTCGTCTCTGCTGGATGTTCTAGTTCCATTGTACCTGCTATGATATAAAGAAAAAAGGCTTTCCAATTTTTGCTTAAAGTTAATCAAATAATACATGTAATCATGTCCTAAATGCTGCCCTATCTTAGTAACTATACAATTAACTATGTGTAATTTAAACCTAAGATCTACAACAAAGCCTAATCCATATAAGAATGGAATATCTAACCAATATTTCTCATATTTTTTTCCATCTTTGAAACAATTTCCACTAAGATGTCATTATATCTATATTTAGCAAAAGTTTTAGAAATTTGAAGTAAAATATCTAACGCTAAATTAGTAGTAGGATAATAAATATCACTTAATGTATTAGTAGATTCATAAAAAACCTTTAAGAAATGAATAAAAAAGTTTGCAAATTGTCCAATCATCATAGCTGACAACTTCCTGCAGGTTCTTTCGGTTGACAAAATCTGTGATTTGTCTTACATTTGGCAAAGCTTTTTCCAACATCAAGTAGGTGGAGTTCAAACGGATAGGCATGTTCGTACATAACTTCAAAGGTCGAACCGGTGGATCCTCTTGCTTACAATATTTAATGTACTTCTACCATCTTTTGTTGCTACCATCGACGATGAATCTGATAGTCGTGCGCACCCTTTCAATCTTTGAATTTATAGCTTCTAAACTGCTTTGACAATCAAATTGATGATGAGGCAAACACATCTCTGGTGAAAAAATTTGCCTTCACCACGCGGATCAATCTCTTTTCAAATAAAGAGATAGTCGTTGTGTTAGCAGTCGCATTATCTAGTGTTAGCTCAACAACTCTATCAATTAATACATATTCTTGCAAAACTTCAAGTATTGTAAATAAATAGTGTCAGCATTATGTGCAGTATATAATGGTCTAAAATCTATCAATTTTTGTTGTAAACCCCAACCATGATCTAAGTAATGTATTGTGATAGTTAAAAAATATGTTTTTGATCTACAAGCCCATATATTTGAAGTAAGTGTAATAGATATATTCCTAAAATTTTGAAATTCATTTTTAAGTTGAATATTTATTTGGTTATAAAGTTTTAGTATGTCTCTTCTACTTGTACTTCTACTAACATGAGTATATGCTGGACAAAATGCAGTTTTAATCAAGTGAATAAAAAAAGGATTTTCAGATAAAGAAAGGGGAGAGTCTGTAGCAACTATGTATTTTGCTATTTCCTCTCATGCTTGAAGTGCATTATACTGCCATGTTGACAGAGTTGAGGATTGTGGATTAAAGTTAAGTTGAGTTTGAATTTTCCTACCTGGTCCTGTTGAAGATGAACTGGATAGCTGCATTATTTAGGGGTGCTTCTTCTCCAAATGTCATCGTATCGTCGAAGTACCTTTCTCAGTGCTGATAACGATTCCACAGAAATTACATACCCTGCACGATTCTTCCCCCTCCCCATTTGCATTTGCCCGTTTTGATTTGGTGAAATGTCGCTATACATCGGACACGACCCTCTTTGACGATCGAGGGGGTTGGGCCTTGGAGTCACATCTCGCTTGTGTTTGGCTGCACCCCGTCCCTGCTGAATGTGGTTGTTGTCATTGAATTGTAGCTACGGCCTCTGGAAAGGGTGAAAATGGATCAAACCCTTCAATTTCTTTTTTTGATGGAATGTAGAACTCATTTGACCCTTCCATTATGAATTTATATTAAAATAATAAATAATTAAAATTAAATAATTAAATAATACTATGAATAAGAGATGATATTGAAAAATAGAAAAATTCAAATAATATAAATAAATAATGTGAATAAATTATAAATATAAATATAAATTGAATTAAAGAAAATATGAATAA